ACGCCTATAAGTTAGGCCATTTATCGTGGTGTGGCGTTGTAACACACATACAAGAACGATCCCATGTCCGTGTGCTCGCCTGCGACATGGGCTCGTGCTTAAGTGTGTGGCTACCGATTTTGCCAGAAGACACACATATAAGAACGAGCACACGGACATGGGCTCGTGCTTAAGTGTGTGGCTACCGATTTTGCCAGACCGCCGTCTGATACTGTGTCGCCACCGTCAACGCAGAGTTCTTGGCTGACCGCTGAGAAGTCAGGAGCCTTAGGGCCTGCGCACAATAGAGAAATAAGAATAATAGCGTATTCGATTTACTGATTTTTACTGATATTTACTGATACCGACTCCGAGTCAATAGTCTGTTCTGTTTAGCTGCAAAAGAAGAGCTAAATTGTGTAAGAAATGCAGCTGTAAAAAGAACAGACTGTTGACTCAGAGTCGGGTCGAGTCAGTAATCGAATACGCTATTAGATATTAAGATTTCAACCTATCAGAAACCGTGTATTCCGATGTAATCAGTTTCTGATAGGTTAAAATCTTAATATCTAATTCCTGTTCCTGTATTGTGCTCAGGCCCTTAAGATCAAGGTCATTGGAGATTGTTTCTCTTATTTTCATTTTTACTCTGAAAATCATTTTTATATGTGAAAATGCAAATAAGAGAAACAATCTCCAGTGACCTTGATTTTAACGAATGTTTTTTTTATTCAGGACATAATACTGAACAACATTCAAGAGGTTTTAGTCGTCGGTCGGACACCTTGCATAAGGCATCGTCTACAATACACGGAGTAAGAAGTAAGAGTAAGAAATTGACCAATCACAGTCGATTTATTCTTCTCACATTCGACTGTGATTGGTCAATTTCTTACTCTTACTTCTTACTCCGTGTATTGTAGACGGGTCTTAATGCCAATATCGGCAGTACTGTAACTTCAAGTCTTATAAGGGCCTGCGCACAATAGAGGAACAAGAATTAGATATTAAGATTTCAACCTATCAGAAACTGATTACATCGGAATACGCGGTTTCTGATAGGTTGAAATCTTAATATCTAATTCTTGTTCCTCTATTGTGTGCAGGCCCTAACTCGAAAAGTATTTCATGAAAAAATATTTTATTATAGTATTTTGGAAAGCTCTCGAAGCGTGCTACAAGAATATGCAATAAAAAATGAGATTTTATTAAAAAAATGTACGTTGACCTTGGTAGTGCCCCTTATCCTATATTTCCACCTTCTTTCCCCCAAGAAAATCGACAACTTTCATATAAAACATTTTCTTGTATCTCTTATGGCGTTTTCGGCCCGACCGAGTTCGCACCAACTTGGGTTGAAGTAATGATGTTTCATGCTCTCCTATTGGTAGAGCGTGTAACGTCAACCAATAGCGAAGCATTTTCCGACCCAAGTTGGTGCAAACCCGGCCGGGCCGAAAACGCTATTAGTTTCTGAGATATTCGCCTGGAACGATTAAAATGACCTACCCTGTATACTAAATATTTCAAAATACGATCTCAGTTCAAGACGTAAATAATTTTAATAATCAACAAAAGAAATAACGAAACAATCTTGGCTAGAATCGCTTTTATTTATACATTGATCATATTCGACAGTTATATAATAATTCATTAGCTTTCAGGTCTTTCTTTCAAATCGTACATATTTTATTATAAACTCTTACTTTTATAAGCACAATCCTAAAAATAATCATATAGTTATATACAAATTATTTTATTTCGAGCATTGACTAATAATGCAATATGTGGCGAGCTATGTTATTACATTTGTACAATACGAAAGTACGGGAGGAGAAATTTTTCTCTAGAAGAAATTTCATTTCGCAAATATGTTTAGATATGCGGTAAGAAATTCAGAGTTGCATGAAGTCTAGCTGTAGCTACATACAGAATAGCCCACAATTTGTGATTTTTTTTTTAACGATGGACATTAATTTCTAATTGGAGTTTCTAATTTGTAATATACCTTTTCGTAATCGTAAAATTAAATTCATACGAAAGTATGAAAATCAATTATTTAAAATTGATTTATTAAAATTCTATGAAAATAAAGAGTTCGCATTAAATTAATTATACTCTTTATTTTCCCGAATATTCAATTCACAAAATTTAGAAATACTTTTTTATTAAAATTAATTCAAAGTTCGTCGGAGGTTCTACCGTTAAAATTAAAAGCACAAATTATGAAATATGTATATATCCTACTATTATTCTCCAAAAATATCCGATATACAAATTGCTCTTTCACAACAAGCGATGTACCGCAAATCAACTATTATGCATTGATATAATAAAGTAAGAGAATTCATTCATGACACAAATATTCAAATTGAAAATAAAATATATATATGTTCAATTTCCGATGCTATAGATTATAAATTATATAAGTAGATCTTTTTACGTTTACATATGTAACAAATTTAACAGTACTTTTATGTAATAAACTTAATAATATTTTTATACAATATTAAAAATTTAATTATAAATTTTAATATGTCCTATATAATATAATAAATTTAATTAATAACACATTTATATTTTCAGTAAAATTTATATTAATTAAAAATTTAATAATCAATTTTATTAAAATTTTATCAAAATTTGAGAGCAGGATGTAATGTCTCTGTCCATAAATGAAAAATTATGTGATATATAATTACATATTTATATAACCATTAGTATAATCTGTGAGAACGAGACATAATAATGAATAAGAAAATTATATATTTTACATGTCTATGGCATCGGATAATTTAGACTCGTAATATTCTTGTAGTTTTGTAATTTAAAAAATTGTTTTCTAATTTTTTATAATAATTCAATTTTGCATTGTATTATGAATCGAGAAGCCATTAATTTGTCGATTGTCATGCTTCCAGACATGTTCCAATCCATGGTGTAAGAATATATGTATGTAATGTTATATTTTCTATTATATATAACATATACCATATTTATACATATATATCATATATCAGGGTTGCCACAGAAAATGAATTTTAAAATTCCCTGATTTTTCCAGGTTTTCCAGATAAAAATGGAAAATTTTCCATGACTAATATAAAATATGTAAATTTTAACATTTAGACTCAAGGATTTTAAGAAAGCTACAT